AAAGTTTTCTCACTTGATGGAAAATTTGTTAATATTTTTGCAGGGACCTTTTGCGAATCTTATTCAATTGCTGTTTCCAGCAGAGGGTATGTGTTGGCTTCTAACAAGTTTAGAGGCGGTCATGTTGAGGTTCTTGATTGAAAACAAAAAAGAAAAAGGACATCGAGGACTTGCGACAAGCAGTTCCGGGTCAAGTTGTTGACAGTTGGACAGACTCTTCTCGATCCGTGGCGGAAGGAAACGGCTTGGAAGAAGCAGAAGTTGGAAGAGAAGCCAACTTTACAATCACAACAAAATATTCCGAAGGAAAACAGTGTTATAATGAAAATAATAAACTGGCAATTACAATCAAGGCTGGGGAGGAACTAATGGAGAAGGTGATTCAAGAAAGAAAAAATGGTGACTGCGTATACCATCAATACGTTCATTGTATGTGACATTAACATAACAGCAGGTAGGAAAGTCTATTAATTCCTCACTGGCAAGGCAATTAATCTACTAAGAAAAGATTTAGATAAACATTTCAGAGTGAAAACTAGCGAAATTAATAACGAACAACGTTTCGCCGGAATGAAGCCACATGTGCTTTGAAGCGTTTTTCGATCTTGAAGAAATGTCAAAACAAACTTGACTGTTTCATTTATGAAATGTTTTTCATTAAAGAACTTAAACCTGTTCTTAACGTACATCCATAAATACTTTACTGCATTCAGATATTCGTATTCCGAAATACATCGCACTTGACTTTTGAACTTGACAATGCTGTCAGGAGGACGGCGAAACATTGTTCGCATTTTAATTTCACCAGTTCTCATTCTAAAAAATTTAATCGACCTTGTACAATTGCTACTCCTAATTAACAATTAGATTATTCGCTCTCGATTTCTATGAGGTGATAGTTGATGAGGCCTTCGGCCTTCCGCCTCATCAACTATCACCTCATAGAAATCGAGAGCGAATAATCTAACTGTTTTAGTAGAATTCTTACTTAAATTTACTTCAAATAACGGTTTCCAATTATTTTCTTGACGTATTATTTAACTTTGCGTCTGAAAAAGATCGCTCGGATTGACTTGTCATTTAAGGTGGGTGAATACAGTTTTTGATACCCGTGTTTCATTCACCTTTTTCTCTAAAACCCTTGATCCCTCGGTCGTCAAAAATG